GGTAATTCGGAATACCAATCAGAATACCAAGCAAAAGGGAAAGCACAACAATAAATTTTGAGACAAAAATACCTCAATACACATAAAAATCTAGACTCAATCTATCAATTACAAAAGTAAAAATAGTTTGGGGTTATTTTTGTAAAATAACCTCATATTCCAAGTCATATTTCGTTCTAAACCAAATATGGAATCAGTAATTTTTACCCAATATTCCCGGTAATATTTTGGCGACCAAACACCTCTTTCGTAAGATTCCAAGTAAACTCAATTTCTACTGAATTCCCATTAATCATGATTCCCGGTCACCAAAAAATTTCTCTTGTACCAAACACACCCTCAAAGTCGAGAGAATACCCCAGGTGAGCAATCATATAAACTGCTCCGTTAACTTCTCTAAAAGTGTGGGATGGGAGAGGCACAATCCAATTCCTATTCAATAGGGAATTAAAAGCTACAACAAATCTACAAGGTTGACAGGAATTTTTTTTTTCCTTCATAATATACAATAATAGGTGTGTGAGTTTGTGAGGAAATTGTATTAAACACACATTGTGTACATAGTAATACTTCTTTAATTATTTCCATGGGATATATGAACAGAACATGGATCTAAACCAAGCTCAACTTATTTTCTTAAGCCCATTATTGTTATTTAAGATAAAAAAATGTTTTTTTTTTATAAACCACGGGTATACTCCACGGGAAGCAATTCTGTTCGGAACGAATTCAAGATTAAGACTTTAAATTTCTTCCAAAGATGGTAATAATAATAATTGAATACATGCTCTCACTCCACCTGCTCAGCTCTAATGCGCCAACTGAGCTACCATCGTTTGGTTAACAAAATTTTATATTCTTCAAATATAAGACAAGTTTATTGGAATTACAGTCAAATTCAAACATTTGAATTATAGGTAACCACTGTTTTTATTCATTTATGGGTAACCACTAACCCCGTACTTTTGATTCCTAATAAACATCATGTCCGAAAATAAAATCTATAATTTAAATGAGATTCTGTTATTATTACAATGGCCAAGCCTAACCGAAAATGATTTCCAAAGTTGTAACTAATACTTTTGTACCATTAACCACCACCCCAAATCTAGATGCATAATCGCTAATAATCCAAATGAAATTGATATACTTGCACATGCAGTGTGTCAGGTGCAGGAAAAACTAACAGTGAGATCAAAGAAAAATCTATGGAGCAATTTTCAATATAATGCTATTAATAAATTTTTATCGGGGACGAATTCGTTTACAAATTTTTTTTGAAATTTCTTACAAATTACACTATGCTCTCCCGGCAGGAGAACATAGTATAATTTGTAAGAGTTTGTAAACAAAAAAGTTTGTAAATATAACTTGTCCCTTTTTTTATTACATATCAAACTGATATGAAGTTTGAAATTGATTTAATTACAAAATTTAATAAAAATTTGTAAGTTCAGTTAAGTTCAACATGTATTAACATAGAATAGAAAAAACTATTTTTTTGAGTACATGGAATACAAAAACTTTACAAGTGCTATTAATTACAAGGCTGCATTAAAATTGACTTTTAATATTGAAATAAGACATTTAAAATGAGATAACATCCTTCCTTTTTCTTCTTAGTCTTTTCTTTTAAAAAGAAGAAGATATTATCACCGACCCTCGCATATAGATGCATTAACAGTTCTATTTAATTTAAATAGAATAAAATCAACTATATATTGTTTTGTATTATATAAACTAATTTCTTCTTCATTAACAAACTAAAATATTGAGTTGATATTATATAAAAACAAGGACTAGTGCTATTTGTAAAAAATGATATTGCATATATTTAATTTTTAATAGGATAAAATTATAATATATAAATAAAACAACCTAAATATAGAAGAGAAAATTCATAATTAAATTAATCAACTTTAATTGATAAAATAATAAATTTATTTCTATTGAATTCTTAAAATTTATTACTTCTCCTAAAATATTAGTATTAAATTTTCTCTATAAATTAAGATTATGCCACAAAGTTTGCACAAAACTTATAATAAACACATTTTATCTAAAATAAAAATATTAAATCATGTTTGAACTCATGTAGATACTATTTTTTTAATTGATTAAAATAGCTAATTATCTTTCATTTCAAATGTATTTTTTTTATATTTTATATTAAACGGGATATCTTATATTTAAAAAAAAAATTGTTTATAAATTATACTATGTATTCCTGAAAATGTATTTCTAACAGAATTTATTCCTAATAATATATAGTTAAATTTGTAAATAAAATAAATATAACATTTATTTTATTAAACTTGATGTTAAATATAGGGGACTAGTCATGGATGTGGAAAGCTCATCGTACATGCATGAAAAGCAAGAGCCATGAATGTACAAATTCTATTTTACCGAAAAGAAAAGAAAAATGAAAAAAAGAGAGGAGTTGAATTCAGACAAGGTTGATGCAGCGTAATCCCATTAAAGAGTTTCCCAATACAATCTTTTGCTTCTTTTTGTAGTAAAAATGAAGCAGTCAATAATCTTTGGTGCTCAAACACTGAAACCATGGAAAGCTCATAGTACATCATGGCCCATGACAATGATGATTCGAGGCAGCCATTCCAAAGCTATCTCCTGCCATCATACCCTTCCTAAAGCCTGGTATTCCGAAATTATTATGGTGCTCTCATAGCACTGTTCACTCACTAAGATGGGGAGTGACCAAAGTGTCAGGTTTGGACAAAAAAATTACTAAACTGCTACGCTAACAGTAAATTTTGTCAAAATGTCACGCGGCATAATTCACTACATTGTGTAGCGAATTATGCCGCGTGGCATTTTAACAAAATTTACTGTTAATGTGACAGTCTGATAATTTATTTGTCCAAACGTGATAAAATGACCACTGTTCCCTAAGATGGGCCATTAAAAATTGGATAGAAAATGTGATATGTACATGAAAGAGAAAAAAAAAATTAATTCTAGTTTCACAATTTTAATGAAAGAAGCATGTGCTCCTGGAGCTAGCACTGAAAATTCTCTCCTGGTATTCTTTAATTTGAATACAAGAGAGACTAAAAAAAAGTTTAATACTTCATCATATTATAATTCAAGAAAAAAATTATAAAAAAAGATCAATTGTATCATTGGTTTGAATCGCCACGTAAATAGGATGGGCCATATTCAATCCACCTACATTTTTTTATTGCATATTTTGAACAAAGCAATAACATTATATAATAAACTTTTTTTTTGGTAAAAATAAAATAAACAATTTTAACACTATATAAAATAATGAAAATTGAATATACTGTCAGATAATTTATAATGTTGGTTCATGAAGTTTAGATCCAATAGATGAAAAGCAGAAACAAGTAAAATATAGTTTTTACTATTTGCTTGTGGATATATATAATCCTCTATGTAAATAATTTAGTGACAACATGATTATACTTTTTGCAAAAGTCAGACCAACAAGATCAAACCTTAATTAAGAAATTTGATTTTTCCTGTTAACTGATTTGGCAGCATAATCCATTGCTATCATCAATTCAATTGAGGAGGTGCTTATTTATATTCTAAAGCGGTACACGTATTTCTTTTTTTTTTCTTTTCACTGAAAATGAATATTTATGCATACTCTCTTTGTCACAAATATGAAAGTTTCATAATGAAACTTTGGTGCAAATGATATGTGTGTGCAGAATAACCAAAAAAACTGAACCAAACGATGAACCAAACTGAACTTCACTTAAAAAAATCGATTTTTAAAAATTAGGTCATGAACCGAACCGATTTTTAAAGAAATGGATCATAAACCAAACCAATTTTTAAAATCAGTTCAAGAATCGAAACATTGTTGAACCGAACCAAACTGATTTTTATTACTTTATTTTTTTTAAATTTTAATTTTTCTTTTTTTCAGAATAGGATCGACCCGAACCAGTTCCAAACCGAACTGAACCGTTTTCAACTGAACCAAATCACTTTCGAACATAACCAAATCGGTTTTGAACCGAACCAGTTTGAACCGAACCAGACCATTTTCAAATAGAATCGTTTAAACCAATTCAATTTAATTTTTCAAAAAAATTGGTTCGGTTCGATCCATGTACACCCTTATATATATGTGCGTGCGCAGAAGAAGAAAAAACATTGTAATTTAAAATATATGTCAACTTTTAAACATTAAATGAAACATATAAGTGATACACTTAGTTAAATTCTTAATTGCTTTATTTTTTCTTTTATTTTATTTTCTGAGTTGACACTCTCTTACTTTCTTTAAACCTCATATACATATTAATCAAATTTTACTAAACTAAACCATAAAACACAGATATTCTAGTGATATATGGACACGGAATATATTATACTTTACCCATGAAATTGTCCTTTTCTATTGTTATAGTAAACATTTGTCCTTTACTTTTAGGACCACAGAACAGTAACGGAAACAGGAATGAAACAAGCAAATTGATATAAGGAAGAAGCAACCAAAGTGAACAGTTTCGGTTTTGGCTGTTTCGGTTTGGGGGGAAGGGGAGAGAATGAATGACTTAGTAAAAAAGTGGCAAAGAAAAAGACAGAAAACTGGCTATGTAAGGGAGCAAACGTACTAACAAAGTCACCCCATTCCTCGAGAAAACTTTGAAGTGTTGCTTTCATGAATGGAAAAAGACAGTGAAATAGATGAAGCAAAAAGGCCACACCCCACACTCCTTCATTCATTTTTATACATATTCTGAAAAAAAATTATTTTTATTTTTATTTTTATTTTTTTTCTTCTGACTGATTCCCATTCTCTCTTAACCATGTTTGCATGCAAGTGTCATTCGCTTGATTACTTCCAAAAGTGGGAGCATCTCAATCTCACTGACCTCATCTTCATTCAGATATACTAAAGTACATTTCACACACATCTCAGATATGATAGTATTATATATGAGCACTTGTGTATCTGGCATATCAAAGGTTGATTTCATTGCTCAAAAATAGATATGGAATCTAATAAGAGGAACAGTAATGAGAACTACAAAGAAGTAGAAGAAGAAGTGGAAGAGGAATTAGAATTAGAAGAAGAAAACAATGAGATCCTCAAGAGAAGAATCTCTAGTCATCCTCTCTATGAACTGCTTGTTGAAGCTCACTTGAACTGTTTGAAGGTCTCTCTAATCTCTCCCTTCACCCTTCTTTCTTCTATCATGTCTCCCACCCTAGTTTACATTTATGTAGAATATATTGAATTCACCCTATGTTTCTCAGGTAATCATATAAAACCATGCTTTCATCCAAATAAATTATATGTTATTCTCAATGTCGTGTGTGTAAGTAGACAATATGTCTCATGGTGAAGATTCATCATCTTAATTTTAAGAATTCTCTTCTCATTCCCTTAATTATAAAAGGGAACATCCATTTTTTTAAACTTGTTAATTGAATCTTAAATGATGATAAAAAAAGACCAAGGATTATCCAGCAGATTGAGTTGTATATGTCAATATCATACAGTGAAGGGAGCAGATTCATATGCAAAACCCCAAATTCACTTTAGTGCATGTTAATTTCATATTTTAACTGTATATAAAAGTTTGTGATGTTATGAATGAATTTAATGGTCCAATTGTACAAAGAACAATTAGAACTCATAAAAAAAAATAAAAAATGAAGTTTTAGCCTCAAATTCATACTCTTTAGCACTACCTACTTTTTTATTTTTATTTTGGAAACATTTAACATTAACTACTTATAGTTTATAATAATGCTACTTATAGTTGATAAACCCTTTGAGCATTAATCCTTCTTAAAAATGAAGTTTTAATCATCAAACTCTTTAAAATCAACCACTTATAGGTTACAAACTGTAGATTAACTTGCACCATGCATGCACAAAAACAATAGCTAGCTCATTCATTTAATTTCAGCATGAAATTAAACTTTGGATAAGCATGATGTAATCAATTGCTAGCTCTTGTTTTTAGGTTGGAGATATTTCCAACTTGGACAGAGAGCTGAAGATAGATCAAATGCAAGCAATGAAGAAACAAAACATGGGCATGTTCAGCCAGTCTGAGCTTGATCTCTTCATGGTAATACTTTCAATCTCTCTCTCTTTCATACTTGCATGGGTTTACACGGACGCCAATGAATGAATGCTTTTGGTGGTGGACTGGTCAAGTAATGAAAAGTCATTCAAATAACCAAACACATCATGAGAAGTTAATTTATCCATTGATGGACACTTCATGGTTGGCTAAAGCATGTGCTTCATGCTTGAAAGAGACAACACCAAGAAATGTGCATAGTTTTTTGTTCCAATTCCATGACTATGACATTTTCCCCATCTGTCTCTGTGTTTGTGCGAGTGTTCAGATTGTGTCTTTTGACATTTACTTTAGGCGGCAAATGTTAGTATAGGTTACTTAGTTTATAAATGCTACAATTGTCTTATCTCAGTAGTTATAAATGTTACAATCTTATATATATGGGATAATCTTTTCTCATGTTACATGAGAAAAGATTAATCTCCTACACTCACAAAATAAAAGAGCGAGGAGAGAGAATAGATGAGAGAAAAAAAGTATAAAGTGAGTTTCATCTTTGAATTGTGTGTGTAGGAGAAAAATATTTTTTCATGTAACATGAGAAAATATTAACCCTATATATATATATATATAAACCCCCCTCCCCCAACAAAAAAAAAAGGACAAAATTGAATGCCAATAGCAATATTTCAGACAACTAATTGCTGATTTTGGTGTTAATCATTCAACACATTGTAAATGGGCAATACTATCATTAAATACTCAGAAAAGTGCTATTATTCTCTCTGAGACATGAAAATATATACTTTTTGACACAAGTAGTATTATACTATGTTATAGAGCTTTAAATGGACTGCAACATCACTTTGAATTGCTCATTTCTTGAAGAGTTATTAGACCCATCACCACATGTAGCTACTTATGGAAAATTTTATAATTGTTGAAAGAATTGTGCTCCAGAATACTTAGGGGATGCAGGCATGCAGCGTCGATTGTCAATTCTGAGTTCCTCATACTTATTATTATTATTATCCGCGTTCAATTAGAAATAACTAGGTATACATAATATGAATTGTTATTTTCAATTTTAGTTTGTTATCTTTTGTTTTCCAACCAGATATTGTATATTATAAAATAACACACTCCCCATATGAGTTTTTTTTTTTAAAAAAAAAAATACATAAAAAGACAAGTCTTTTTAGTTTTTTTTATAAATTTGATTATAGTAAAAGGTAAGTGCTTGAGTCTTTATATAAACTATACATTTAACTGAAAATTTCTTTATATATATATATACTTGAGAAGAGTTATATTTACTAATATTTTGTTTAGAAACTCAATTATGTATTTCGAGAAATACACACTTAGGTGTTTGTATTTCCTAGAATACATAGTTGAGTTTGTAAGAATATATAATCAATTAGTTTGTAAACATAAATTTTCTCTATATACTTATATAAATGCTTCATAAAAATATCATCTGGGATTCTGGACGATTTTCTATTAGTGTTACTTTGAATTTTTTTTAAAAACAAAAATCTAATAAGTGATTTCATAGTGGTTGACCCATTAGCCTTAAGATCTTATCCAAAAACACCATTAGTCTTAAGTACTGCATGCAACCATGTCACACCATAACTTAGAACTCCAGAGTTATATATATTTAAAGTAGTGTTAAACCTCTTACAATTATATTTATTATCATTGGATCAAAATCAAATCAACAATTATAAAATAATATGAAATGAGAGTTGCTGATTTGGTTTTCATCCAACGATAATAAAAATGGTTAAAAAATGTTGCAAGGCAAAAGAGTTTGTAATCTCCGTGATATTTCTAAGGAGTTTTGATTATTATTTATAAACTGATGGTGTTTTGATTTTACCAATTGTACAGGAAGCGTATTGCTTGGCACTTGGAAAGCTTAAAGAAGCAATGGAGGAACCACAACAGAAGTCCATGGCTTTTATAAACAACATGCATTTACAACTTAGGGACCTCACTATGGCAACCATGCCTGCACCTGCTGAACCACAAGCTACTACATCTTCTAGAATGAATGCAAATTCAGAAGAAACCCTACAATTTAGAGATTGATTTTCAGTGTGGCAGTATAATATTATCTCTCAGCTAGACTATTAATTAAGGCTTCAATTATTCTCAAATTTGTCAAATCTCTTGTTAAGGCGTCAGTTATTTGTGAAAGTAACGGGCATGACTCTTATGTATAAATTAATCTACGCAATTTCCCCTTTTCACATAAATGACTTTTAGTTATTATGTAATTATATATAAATGAGTTTAAATTATAGTATTTGCTCACTTTTATGGCAAGAATTTAATTATAACAATTAATGAGGGTTTTATTTTAGTTTGTCATTTTAAATGATGACATAACTTTGTGTCATTATAAATAACATATCTTTGTGTCATTATAAATAGCATATCTTTTTGTGTCATTTTAGATGAAACGACGTCATTTTTGTGAGTAATTGGTAGAGAGAATGTAAAAAATCATCAAATATATACCACAACAATGATGTTTAATCTAAAATAATACAAAATTATGTCATTTAAAATCAATGTTATTAAAATCGTGCCGGCCCGGTCATTGACTCGGTAAAGGTATTGGGTCACTGGTTCAACTAGTGGGTCACTGGTTCAACCGCATGACCCGGTAATTATATGCAATTTTATAATTTATATTAAAAAATTATAAACATACTCAAATATCTAAAAAAAATAACAAAAAATTCAAATATTTTAATATAAAAATTAATAAATCACATATTATTATACAATAAAGAATCAAACAAAAATATAATGATCGTGATACGAGGCTTTAGGTTCAAAAAATAACATCTCTAACAATAAATCAAATCAAAATTTTCTGTATAGTGCATAATTGAGATAATATTAGTGTTGCAGGTACATAAGTTATGTAAGTCAATAAGCAAAAAAATATTCAAATATGTCTATTATGATTTTTTTTTGAAAAAAAAGAATTGGATTTTTTTTTTTTGTTTTGGACCGGGTCGCACTGGTTCTGATGCATAGCCGGTCTGTTGCTTCAACCGGACCGGTTATATGACAGGTTCCCGAGTCGACCCCACCGGGTCGGTCCGATTTTATTAACACTGTTTAAAATGACGCAAAGTTATATCATTTAACAAAAAAATATTTCTACAGTTAATCACTACAAAAAAACAGGCATTTAGCGGCGGTTCATTTTTGGTATACGCGACAGTTACAACCGTCCCTAATTGCAAAAATGCATTTAGCGGCGGTTGTAACCGTCGCGTATACCAAAAATGAACCGCAGCAAAATGCCTGTTTTTTTGTAGTGAATGCAGATAAGTTATCTGCATTTACTTCCAAAACGATATTGTTTTGGGATTGAAAGATTAGAATATTATAATTATAAAGACTATAATAACCCTAAAATAAATTAAAATTACAAAAATACCATGATTTTCGCCCCAAAACGATGTCGTATTGGGCTTACTACAGATAACTTATCTGCAGTACAACTGCAGAAAAAGCGAACCCATCATTTAAAATGACAAACATTTTTACCTTATTTAGATCCGATGAAAAATATGAGAAGTTATAACAATTAATGAAAATTGCAATAATTTAAATCATGATACAAATTAAAATATGAATACGTAAGTGTATAGTAAGCTGGTATTAAAAAACAAAATTGAGTTTAGAAGTTAATTATGTACCAAAAAACATAGAGACTGAAGTTGAACACTCTTGCACCAATTTATTGGGTTAGAAAAAGATTAAAAAATTCTTTAATAAATAAAGACTAGTTCAAAAACAAATTTGAATTTAAAAATTGATTATGCATAAGGATATTTAAAAACTAAATTTCTTAATCATACAACAACACTGATACATCTATCCTAAGAGATTGCTTTAAAGTCAGCTTTGTAAATTATAATAATATGGACATATATAATTATATATTAAATTACCCCACAATAATATAAATTTCAATAATTGAATTCTAACATTAATAAGTACAAAATAATCACAAACACATGAATTAAATATTTACAAGGTAATAAAAAGAAGATAACATACCAATTAAGTATTAATAAGTCAAGGAAATAATAAAATAAATATCATAGACTAATTTATAAAATTTATAAATTTGGCTTATGCAAAATAAATATTTTATATCTACATATCCTAAGTGTAATAAAAGCTTGAAGTTATGTGATTATTATAAAATACTTGTGGGATGATTAGTTTTAATTAATTAAAAAAATTGAAATTTTCCGAACAAATTTATTAGCCATGGTTTAATTTAAACCGATCAACATTTCAATTTACATACTTATCAAGAGAATTAACTAAACAAAATAAAATATCAACAAACTCTTTTTTTTTTTCGGTAAACAAATATCAACAAACTGATCTAACCAAACCCAATTAGTAATAACTAAATTTTTGTTGTTGTTATTTTTACATATTTTCCTTATTATATCTTTTTTATTTGTGCTGTAGAAGAAAAGAAAACTATCTAACAAAACAATTTGCCTCAAAAAGCCTAAAAGCAAAATAACAAAGCTAAAGGAACCTGGCCTACTAACCAAAATGGAAGATAGACTCTTAAAATTTTGGACCCACTAATGCCCAACAACACAACAAAATCAACCCTTACCCATCTCTAAAAATTTCAACCCAGTACAAAACCCTAGCACAATAGATTGAGTTGGGTGATAGGAGCGAGCAAGTTATAGATTCTTTAGTTGCTTTTCTTTGAATTGGTGATCATGGCTTTGTTTGGGGTGAGTTACATGTCTCTGAAATTTACTTACTTTTTTATGTTTTTTTTTAGAGACAAAATTCCATTTTTTATTATTCTATTATTATTTGAAACAAAATTGAAAGAGGCCTTGGGCCAAGGCTATAAGTGTAATTTTAATAGATAAATGTTTTGAACCTCAAAATTAGAAAAAACAAAAGCTAAAGGTAAGAAAAAAAAATTATAATTTAAAGTTCTAGAAGATTTGGCTAATTATATTTTTTTTATGACCCAACCTAAATTAGGTGGTAACAAATATTATAGAAATATTTAGGGCACTCTATTTGTTCAAGGACACCACAGTAACAAGAAGCTACCGTGTGTTGGCCCCAAAAATGCTATGAAAGTTGAGGTTGATGGTAGTCTTCCCAGAATTTTACTAAGTACACTAATCATTATTTCTTGACATAAAAAACATCATACTGTTCTTAGAAAGATAATCTCAATTATCTATAATAAAGGATAATTTCATTCACCCTCCATTTGCATGAACTATATATAATAACACAAGAAATGTTGCTTAAATTGATTGCACATTTTAGTTAGAAACCATGCTTTCACTTTCTTTCACAAAACCATCTCCTGTCCAGTCCTTATCAGAATTCAAGCCTTTCTTTATGGCTTTCCTCTGCCGAATTGCTTCCTTCTGCCTTTGCACCAAGTCAGTGTGAGTAGTAAAATACTGAAGAGAGACCCTGTGAGTTTTATCACAAACAGAAAGGGGCAAAAAAGTTAACATGCCTGTGTTCTGTGTTTTCTGTGTTTGTAAACTATTGGAAAACCATATCAGTTTAAAACCATACCCTCTGAAATCTTCTATTGTTGTGAAATTGTGCCTTTTCATGAAGTCTTTAAGCTCGAGACATAGTTTCTTCACTACACCATAGCCATGCATCATAACACCAGTGCACACCTACAGATATAGAGATTTCATTAACATTTCAATGGTATGTGTTACAATGTGAATTAATTGGTGCCTATAAAAATCATGATAACTTTGTTTTAATGTTTTGGAGAAAGCTATGAGAGCAAGCCTAGAATAGTGGTAAAGATGCTCCTTTCTAACCAAATGATGGTAGCTCAATTGACGTCAAGGAACTGAATTGGTGGAGTGAGAGCATGTGTTCAATTCCCCCAGTGCCGTCTTTGGGAGGTATTTAAAGCCTTAATCCCGGGACCCGCTCCGAATTAGACTAGTCGCGAAGCGATGAACCGATTGGAATATCTCCCAAAAAAAAAAAAAAAAGATGCTCCTTTGTGACTGAAAGGTTATAGATTCGAATTCGGGGAAACCACCTCTTTACAAATATGTAAGAATAAGGTACAAGGATTGCCCTCACCCCTACCTTCGCTAATTGGGGTTTTAATAGGGAGTGGTTCTTTTGGTTTTGGAGAAAGCTCAACTTGAAAGCAAGGAAAGTAACCAGTTCAACAAGAAGAGATCCCAAGTTCAATATGAAGGCTAACCTGGAGACGGGTTTCCATTTAACAAGTAGAAACCCTGTGGACCAAAGTATAGTCCAAACTAAAAAGTGATTCTTTCATCATACCTGAACAGTATTTGCCCCAAGAAGAATAAACTCAGCAGCATCACCACCTGTCTCAACACCACCAATGGCAGAAAGTGAATAGTCCAAACTATCAAACTCTGACTTCATCATTTTTGCAATACTCATGACCTTCCCAAGTGCTATGGGATGGACTGCTCTTGCAGAATAACCCCCGGGAGTTGAGTATCTGACAGAAAAATTTAGAATTATTACATACTGAGGAGATTGAAAAAAACAAAGCAAAACTATGAATTTGCAGTAAGTGAGATTGCAAACCCCTCTACACAAGGCTCGGGACGTAATGTACTGAGATTGATTCCCATGACACTCATGATTGTATTTATAGCAGAGACTCCCTCACATCCTGAACTTAGAGCAACCCTTGCTGGCTATAAGCAGAAACATAACATGACAATCATGAAAGACTCTGAGTAATTCACATCTACTAGTTAAAGTAAAACTGGCATAAAAAAATGTATAACAGCGCATGAAAAAACTGGCACCAAGACATTTCACAAGAAAAGGGCCACAGAGAAGAACATTTAATTTTGGTACAAAATATCATTTTTTGGCATGAAAAACAATTTGCATGCTACATAAGTCAGAGAGGCTCATTAAAACAATTTTTCCAGTTCCTAAATATGTTACATGTACAAGTCCATAAAAAATGTATAACAGCGCATGTGCATGTAAAATGGATCCACTATTCCGCAAAAAAACAATCAGAAATTTCAGTGATAACCCATAAATTTGATAATTGAACAAGTTTCCACTTCTTAAACATAGTAGAATATGGTTAGAACTCAGAATATAATAGAAGGAGATGATACAAAGCCAACCTGTGAAATATCAGTAATGTTGGGCGTCATCTTAGCCCAAACAGGAACTGTCGCTTTCGCATTTATCCAACCACACACCTCTTCCAAAAGAGCACAATCTTGCCCAACAGCGGCACCCATTTTGCGTTCTGGCATACCATGTGGACAGGAGAAATTTATTTCGATTGCATCCTGAAAGAATATCAGAGCGGTCAGCTATCAGAATATTCAAATTGGAAAAATTATCTAATTTCACAAACTCAGCCAAGAAACACATCTTACAGCTCCAGTTTGCTCAACTCGATCAATAAGCTCCTCCCAAGCAGCTTTATTGTATTCCTCCATGATTGAAGCAATGAGAATTCTATCCGGGTACTCTTCTTTTAATTGCTTGAATTCTTTCAACATGATTTCAAGTGGTCGATCACTGATAAGTTCTATGTTCTCCCACCCAATAATTTCTCCTTTGGCAGAGCCATTTGCACCTGCCCGTAGTCGGGCATATCGAGGTGTTACATTTATAACTTTTGCTGCATCAAGTGATACCTAGCAAGAGAATAATATCATATCCCACAGTAATCTTTAAAATACAAATAATCAGTAGTATTTAGATTATTTACGATTAAAGTACTTTACTTCAAAAAGTAAACAAAACAGTTATAATGGAAGGAATTGAGAAATTTCATGGTAAGGGCATTTTCTGTCAAGTAACATAGTACAACTGGATACAAGGACTTTCATAGTACTTAAGTGTGCTCCTTCTAGCCAGAGGTACATAGTGTTGTTTTGTTGTAGAGTAGGTTTATAAAGTGAAAAATTATTGAATTAATTTCATTTGAGAACAATGGAATACATATCGCAAATGGAATTAGAACTTTAGAATCCCAAAAAGGAAACCAACTCTAAATGAATGGTATAAAACATGCATATAGTACAATAATAGCTCTATTGATCCACATTTTGAAAGAAATAACAATTTCACCACAAAAAACGTACTCCCTACTAATTCAAAGTCTCCTCTAGACCATGAATCATCCTCCATTATATGTTATATATTGGGTCCATGCATCAAGCAAATGGTATGGTTGAAATTGTCAAAAGCAAGATGCTAAGAAAAAGAACCTCTTACTAATCACTTCACATTTTTTATAGAAAGGGTTAATCCATTTAACAGTCACAAGAAAATATAGCATTCCAAATTTGACATCAAGCACATCCTCAAGAAGCAATGGTGTGAGCATTCAATTTCCAGTTGCATGACTAATGTTCCTATCCTAACCAGTAAAATGTTAAACTTAAGAACAGTATCATCACATAACCAGGAACTTATCAACTTCTTGACAGTAAATCATCATAAATTTACTATCAGCAAGTAATAGTAATTATTCCCTTGTCATGAATAAAATGTTCTTATTCTCTTAGATAAATTTCACGGGTCTAAGAAGAAAAAGAAAACTTTAAGCGAGGAATGTGATAAAAAAGTGAGAGAGAAAACAATTTTATAGGAAACCAACACTACCTAGTAACATTTTTAGAAGTATAAAGCATTCAAAAACAAAAGGTTGCGTTATGGTATATATTCACATTGTGCAGGGCCTACGATGATAAACTAATTGCAATAACACACCAAATTTTACAGAACATTTTCCCAAAGTTGAACAAAGATCAGCCAAGTTCTTTATACTGGAAGCCAGAGGATGTATCCAAAAAGACAACATTTTGAAGATTCATGCTTCTGGTTTTTATGACAGTCTAAATTTCATGAGTCCTGTATTTATGCGATAGCAACTTACCCCGTAGAAACCTTTAAGAAGTAGACAATTTTCCCACTGCAAAAACTAATATAATAAGCTATAAAGACTGATTATGTGGTTGTTCCAAACAATCATTTCATGCCAAGTGTCAAAAACATAATTATATAAACCGAGCTAATAGTTCATTATGCATTTCCCATGCTTGCGTCTGTGTCACTAGTTCACTACTTTGACTAAGCCTTTAGCATTTATTTTTATTTTTTTTAGTGATCCTTTCATGAAATTTTATGTTCTCGGCAACTACACCTTATAACTTCTTAAGAAAGAATATAATAGTTTCAATTCACGGATCTCAATTTCCTCTCTGAAAATGAAAGAAACCAAAAGTATAAAAGACACCAAAATAAGATCCAAGGATTCTTTCTGAAGCCATGTAAAATCTACATATTGCATACAGAATCAACAACAATTCAAGGCTCCCCTTAATCACCTAACAGAACTTAACATCATGGAAAAATCCAATTTTTGCAGAACAATGGACCACAACAGTCCAAAAGACTATCCTTTCAGATTAAAGTACTCAACAGTTCCTATACAAGTCATGCAAAACAGATAATAAAAGTCCAAAAGCTTGACCTTTTCAGCATTAAATCACAATTCACAAGACCAAGATTCAGGTATTCATGTTACTATAACACAAACTCACTCCTACTGAGAAACCAAAAACTTCTATGAGTAGAGACAAATCAAGCTAACGCAGAAAAGTGGGTGTAAATGAAAGCTTACAGTTTTAGCAATCACAGCACCCCACCCTTCATCAAAGGCTCTCTTCATGACTGTATAATTGGTCCCAGGTGGACCAGACCCAATAACAAAGGGGTTGGGCATATGCAATCCATTAACAGTAACACTAAGATCAGGCTCTGAAACCTGAGTCCCAGAAGCAAAAACCTTAAACCCAACTCTGCTGGGACAAGCATGAACCTTCCTAGGACAATTCAAGCCAAACCCAGATGCATAATTCCCAGTTCTTATCTGGGTCATCCTCAGATTTGCCATTTTTGAAGGAAAAATTACAACGTTCTGCAAAGCTCAAAAGAAGAAGAAGAAGAAGAGGAATAAAAGGGGAATCTGAATCTGAGTTACAATATTTTTAGTTAGGGAAGACCAAAGAGAACGTGGAATTATGAAGCCACGCTTGCGTATGCAGCATTTGTTTGCAAATTGCAAGTATGGGATAAGTTTGAGAAAAATTAAACAATTGCTTGAAAGGCTGGACTAGCGTTAGCATGTGAGTGGGACAGTGAAAAGATTGATTAAGATTAAAAAAGAAAAATCAATGAATTAGTTTTAAGTTTTTTAAAGTAAAAGACGGTTTCTTTTGGAATGAATCAAATAAAGGGAAAAACTACTCTTATGTTGCAATAAGAGTAGTTTTATCTCTTACACACTCATCAAAAATCGTGGCATTCATTTTTTTTTTTTTCTTTTTTCTTTAAATGGCGGGTCCCGCCACATATGTGTCACAACATGAGAGAAGATCTCTTCTTCGACATAAGATTAAATGAACCCTCAAATAAATGAGACATCCTCAAAAGTCATCACTATTTAAAAGTATTTCAATAAAATAATGTTCTTTGATGTGCTAGTATGATTCAGAAATCACGTCAATATTTCGGGTAAAAGACCGAAAGAGAGAGACAGATAGAAAGGAGATAGTGTAAGGACATGAATCATGATAGTTATAGAATTTGTCACAGTAACATAGAAAATGATGAGTATAAAATATGGGAATGCTAATCTCATTTTATACGAGACTATTCTCTTTATGTAATAGAAAAAAGTCACTTGCGGTCCATTATTAAAAGATAAAAAAAAAAACGTGAGTGAAATTTTTAAAGTAAGATATCATGAGATAATTATCTCATATAAAATGATAATAATATTTCTCATAAAATATCTCTCCTATGATTGAAGATTTATTTATAAGAGTTTTATGTTTGTTATGTTATTTATCATAATTTTATTTTCTTACATACATAATAAATGAGAGAGAAAAAGTGAAATGATGAAAGAGAAAAATAATATATGTAGATTCTAGAGTCGGCAAAACGGACTCGACTCGGCGGGCCAACCTGCCCACTAAATGGGGCGGGGCGGGCTGAGTTTTTCAATCCATCTCAAAAGCAGGGCGGGGCGGGCTCATTTTTTGGAGGGTTGATGGCGGGCATAGGCGGGCCGAGGTGGGTCAGTGTAAAATAGGTTCGGGCTGGCAGACCAATCTGCCCAACTCGCCAAACAGGGCGGGGCAGGCTAAGTTTTTGAGCCCACTTTCAAAAGCGGAGCGACGCGAGCTGGCTCATTTTTTGACGGGTTGATAGCGAAGTGAGGCGGGGCGGGGCTGGGCGGGGCGGGACGGGACGCCTACTTTGCCACCTCTATGTAGATATCATCTTTTTGTTATGTGTATGTGTGGGTAATAACATAACAAATATAAAATCTTATTTATAAACGAAAAAATATTTTCTAATCAGGAGGGCTAGTATAAAAGTAAAAAAAAAAGTATTGCTTTAGTGACTAACCCATGAGTTAGAGTTAGGTTCAAAACACAATTTATGTATTATTGTTCATTTAAAACAAATTTAATAATGGAATCATCTTCGCAATTAATTATTATTTTTATTTAAATTTCTGATTAGAAACGAAGTAACAAGAAAGTCAAAAATAAAATTAAGGAAAAGTATTTGTTCTACCCTTATAATTTTACACTTCACGGGTCTCAATTAAAAAACTGTATGAACTATAAATTATGAGGGCCGGTTACCTCTAATTTTTTCATGGGGAAAGATTTATTTATATTTCTTTTTATAAATTATATTAAATATGACTTGTCATACATTTTTTATTGGAGTATAATCAGTTTTTTCAAATTACATTAAATAATAAATATGACCCGTCATACATTCTTGATTTAAGTATAACCGTCAAACATAGTGTAGTTTTTAAGAGTTTATAAACAAAAATTTATAAATATAATATTTCTTTTTTTATTTATAAATTCTTATAACCTCAATTATGTATTATGACAAATACAAATATTTGAGAGTGTATTCCCTAAAATATATAGTTGAAGTTATAAGAATTTGTAAATAAAAAAAGGGTTTAATAAGAGTTATGTTGTAGGAAAAGTGATTGTGTTATGTTATAGATATTCGTTTTGCGTGCCAGAGTTTTTTTTTTTTTTTTTGGTTTCACAAATTGTGGGTCCCACAAAATGTTGTGTGTGTAGGAAAGTTGTTGTGGTCATGTTAAATTATAGATACAAAACCCATAAAAAAATTATTCCACGCTTCTACATGTTTATTGACTAACGAACTCATAACATTTTTTTTCTTATTATTGCACAGAGGTGTAGAATATGTAACATGACTTTTGAAAACAAAAATACTTGGTACATGTTAAGAAAGCTACATCTCTTCCAGTTTGCTGAGGTGGCAACGTAAAAATAAATATGTGTGAAATTTTAAATGGTAATTGTAATAGCATGATTATAGTTGAAGGAGAATTATATTGATAAAAAAAAATTTATAATTTATACATTCGGTAAAATTTGATTCAAAAATAATTTACTAGTAAGACATAATATAATTTATAAGAGTTTGTAATAAAAAATTTGTAAATATAATTTTACCTTAAAATTATACATATACAAAATAAAATATGTGAATGGATAATAAATCTTCTCATGAAAACTTTGTAATAATATATTTTGGGCTTTATTAATCTCATGTAATATGAGAGAATTCTCTCATGCAATAGAGATAATCATGTGTGGGACCCACCTATTATAGAAAAAAAAAATAACATGAAAATCGATATATGTGTAGGACAGAAAAATTCTCTCCTACAACATAAGAGTATATTTTTCCATATAGGGGAATATTAGCGTGTGCATGACAACCTTCCAGGAATTAATTCTTTTTTAATTTATGTTTCCGGGAACAGAAATGGATAGGAAACTCGTTTGGTAAAACCGATTTATTTTTTTGTTCCCGGGATGAACCGGTTTACTTTTTGTGCTGGGGAACAGAAAAATAATCAAAAAATTTCTGTTTTTTTGTTCTTGGGCACAAAATGAGAAACACTTATCTCTCTCAATCACTCTCCACCTCTACCATCATCACCACCACCACCATCATCCCGAATATGACTGCCGCCACCATCGTGGCCGCTGCCATCGTACCACTAGTTCCGTTGTCACCACCCCTCGCCACCACGATGTCGTCGCCACCATTACCACCACAATGCCACCATCACCACCACCACAACTACAACCGCCACCACTATCACTGTCATCGTCACCACCACTATCACCACTACCGCCATCAACCACCACCACCACCATCATCGCAATCATTGTCGTTACCGCCACTATTGCCATCACACGCCACTACCACCACCCTTATCGTCATCACTACCACCACCACGACGTCACCACTACCATCACCATCACTGTCACCAACTACCACTACCATCACCGCCGCTGCCACCAAACACCACCACCATCGTCACAGCTATTATCGTCGCCACCATTACACCACCCCCGCCACTACCATCACCACACCATCGCCACCACTACTGCTACCGTCACCTACCGCCGCAGCCACTCCCACCACCACCACCATGATGCCTTCATAACCACCACCACCATGCCACTGCTACCATTGTTGCCGTCACCAACCACTATACTCATCACCATTGTCGCAGTCATTGCCGTCACCTCCACCACCACAATTCCCACCGCTACCGCCGCCACTGCCACCGCCACCATTACCATCGCCATCGTCACAGCCACTGCTGTCACAACCACCACCATTATCTTCACCACGTCACTGTCACTCCCACTACCGTATTGTCGCCGCCACAACCACACCATATGAAAAGAAAAGTGATGATCCAATTTTTTTTATATTTAATAGAAATTATTTTTTATTTTATTATTTGTTGTGTTATCAAACACAATTCTCATTCTCGAAATAAAAATAGAACATGTTATCAAACACATTTTTTTCTCAGAAACTGTTCCAAGACACAGAAATAGAAAAGAATTGTTTCTTTTCAGAAACAGTTGTAGAAAATAGAATGGTTGTCATGCACACCCTTTGTCTCATGGAGAGAATCCAAGTGAGGCCCACCATTAAAAAGAAAAAAAGAAAAAGAAAAAAAAAGATGGTGCAATTTTCGAAATGAGAAAAAATAAGATAACTATTTCATGCAAAATAAGAGTAATATTTCCAATCACCTAATGCCAGAACAGGTTGGGCAAACGCAAACTTGTTTATTGCGTTCAATATTCGTCTCTTTCACTGACATCATGAATTATTGGCTTAAACCGTGTTCACGAATAACTAAAAGGAGAATTTATCTGGAAGAGTTTATATTTACAATTACTTTTTTTAATAATTATTTTTTTTATCATTGGATCAAAATTAAATTAATGATTACAAAATAACTTCAAGTAAAAGTTATTAATTTGGTTTTAATCCAATAACAAAAAATAATTATAAGAAAAAATAGATTATAAATATAATTTTCTTTTGTTTATAGTTTTATATAAACAATTATAAATACTTAAAATTTATAGTATATTTTAATCCAATTTAATTATGATATATTTTTAATCCAATTTAATTTTAACTACTTAAAATTTAATTATAATATATTTTAAATTTTATATATAAAATTAGTTATTATTTTTAATAATAAATTTAAACAAGTATAAGAGTGATAATATATCACTAATCAAACTCAATTATTGAACAAATAATATTTTAAAAATTTTATTGTGATGAACAAAACAAAGAGACTATATCACTCATGGTAAGTCAATTATTGTAATATTTTGGAAAATCATGTAAGAAATTAAGCTTTAAAAAAGAATAAAAGTAAATTTATATTTTTCTTTCCTTAATTTTATTTTAATTTTTTTTGTCTAGTGTTTATATTTTATTTGACTTTAATTCTAGAATTTTGTGAAATTCACCAAATTTATCTTAAATACTAGTAACGTTAGAAATGTAAACGGAATTTACTTAACGTGGTATTATATATGAGTATTAAGTATGTAATTGGCATGTGTAGTAATAATTTTTTTAAAATTTAAGAGAAAAACAAACAATATAATTAAAGGACTAAAATGAAATATAAAGTATTGACAAAAAGTAAAATTCTTCTATAATGAATTTGGTTCTTTATTTTCTTTTTGAACTTCATTTTGTATATTAAATGGTATCATATTCTTCATTAAATTTTTTTATGATTAAAAATACATTGAATTAATATATAATGAATATTTAGATTTTTTTTTGTAAATTAGAATTTCTATTTTGTTGTATAGTAAGGGTATCCTTCTTCCAGCTTTTGTGTTAATCATGTAAAAAAGAAATTTATATGGTTCAGGACCATACAAAATTTTGGTGGTTACTCTCACAAATAGAATTTTTTTCTTCCCTATCTTATCCATGTTTTTATTTTATTTTCCTTTTTACTCTCCCCATTTGTGAGAAAGGAGCATCTAATTTGTATGTTTTTGGACCATAAAAAATTTGCTCTATCATGTATAAGGGCGTATTCTGATATATGTTTTATGCATTTAAGGAAATTAATGAAGTATTTTTTTTTTTGGTAAATAATTAATGAAGTTTTAATGAAGCTGGTTTTGTAAAAATATTTCTATAATTTAAAGTTATTTATATTTCCTGTGATAATAATAATTGAGATCAATTAAATAATAATTGAGATCAATTTGCTCTATCATGCCCAATGGGTCTTTGATTAAAAAACAACACATGCAGATTGTTGTGTCATTGGTACTTCCAATCTACAAGTCTTCACATGTTTGCAACATTGTGTTCACGTGTCTGCTGCCAAGCCTCGGTATCTTACATCCTTGGCACTTGTGATGTATGGGCAGCACAATAGCTGCAGTTTGGTGGAACAAATTGCAATTGCTATTGCAATCTCAAATGACATAGGTTGTCCAATAAGAAGATTTCGGTGCAGCAGGCAGCCACAATTTTATTGTGGTCCAATAAGAACATTTCTTCACCTTGAAGAAACTTCCGACTTCCCAACTATATAATGGGATCAGCGATCATTTGGTTGGAGCACCGAGTGAGTGATAGTTAAACACTTCTATTCCCTTTCTTTATGTTAGCTTTTATTAGTGTACTCAATTTTGTGTATCATCATGTGAGGATTATTGGGTATGCTGGGATTGGGGTTTGAGTTATTTCCATTTTTTGTACTTTATTTTATTAGAAAAAACTATTATCATCTTATATGGGATAAGTTTTCTCTATTACACACTCTTTGATACTTGTGTCATTTTTTTTTTTTTAAGTGATAAAGTTCACAAGTTTGTCTTTATGACATGAGATAACTTATCTCCTTTAACATGACATTAATAAAACCCTATTTTATTTTAGTAGATATTTTTCATCAGTCTTCCCATATGGAATAGACATATTGCCAAACCAAGTAAACACTTATATCTTGTGTGTGTATCATTTTATTTTTCCTCTTATCTTATCTATTTCATTTTACTTTAATTTCGATCCAATTCTATATATCCTGCTTTCACACAGATACAGAATCAACAAGAAATCACTCTGTATTCCAAAACACAGAGCAATGGAGATTGACAAGTTAGGAAGTGGATTGAGGTTACATTAAAAGAGAGTAATGTGTAGGAATATGGAGTTGAAGTTGGTGCATACAAAAACGTCCAAATAAAGTGACTTCAGCCATGAGAGGAGTGATGCTCAACATGGCAATGTCTTCCAACATCCACACTCCTACCTTCACTTGGACATACATGTCTCCTCTCATTTTCATTTCCCTCCATTTTCTTCGTTGGAGTTAAGGCATTGCTTTGACGATTTATCCATATAATTTTTCAGCTAAGACTAATCAACATTCATTGTTGGATAAACACTATCCTACCATTAAGAGTCATTGAACATATCAGTTCATTCCAAGTCAAATTTTAACTGTCTAATATGTTTGTTTGCATAACAGTTTTCATCCCAACATCAACATATATAATATTATCTCCAACATGACATGCAAGAAAATGTTAAGATAAAATAAGTAAAAAATAAGAGGGTAAGATAAAATAAGGGGATTAAAACAGCAAGACAAAATTGAATTGATGATAATCCTTCGTTTCATTCAGCAGCAATTTTGTTTTCAGCAGAATTTTGAATTCCCTAAACACTATAGAGAACAATATTACAAAAGGAATGATTCTCCAAAAAAAATAAAAAAAATTAATGAATCCAAGGAGAATATACAGCAAAAAAGGGTAATAACTAATAATTCCCCTGCACAAAAAAAAAAAACCTCATGCTAACTGAAACTAACTGACCCAACCCGATTGAAACAAAAATCTCGGGTCGATCAAATTAACAAGTTTCCGGATCTTTATACACAAATGGGTGGGTCAAGAGCTGAGCCGCCGTCCACCTTTCACCGGACTCTTTCTTGAGGCAACACTCCATAAAGCTGCGAAACTCCGGCGATGCGGTCTCCGGCAGGGATGGCGGGTCGCCAAAGCAAATCGCGCACATGAGGTTGGTCCAGGTGGGTGTCTGACCCGGCTGAAGAAAAGGGTAGTGACCCACATAGAGTTCAAACAGCGTCAAACCGAAGCTCCATATATCAGCAGCAAAACCGTTATAGTTCCCCTCATCACCATTCGGGTTAAACCGTTCGGGACTCATGTACGCGCACGTGCCCACATAAGTGTTGCAGGTGCAGGCTGACACGTGTTTGCTGACTCCAAAATCCGCAATCTTGATCTCGTTGTTTGAATTCACCAGAAGATTTGCGGGTTTTAAATCACGGTGAGCCACGTTGCGCGCGTGGATACACGCCATGCCGTTGAGAACGTCACGTGCCACGGCAGAGAGTCGCCGTTCGGAGAATGCGCCGTCGGATTTGAGGGCGGTTTCGAGCGTGCCTGAGTCCATGTATTCCATTACGATCGAGATATCGCCGGAGGGTTGCTCGGAAGAGCCATGGTACCGGACAATGTAGGGGCAGTCAGCGGCGGCGAGGATGTTTATCTCGGCGAGGATGCGGCGGCGTGCGGCGGCTTCAGATTCATAATGGATGACCTTGAGGGCGTAGATCTTGTAGGTCTTCTTGTGGCGGACCTTGTAGACGGTGCCGGAGGAACCGCTTCCGAGGACGGCAAGCTTCTCTAGGTCGCTGTCGGCAACGGCCACGGCGGAGGAGGTTTCGGAGGTGGTGGAGGGGATGGGGAGGATGACACAGGGACGGTGCTCTAAGGGTTCGGGGATGGGGAGGCGGAGGTTGGGGTGACGGCGGTTGCGGACGAGTGCCATAGCTGTGGTTGGTGGCGGTAAAGAGTTTAAAGAACCAAAGACGTGAGCAGTTTGTGGGGGGTTTTTATATTATGCGAGTGTGATTGGAAGAGATCGAGAGTGTGTCGTGACTTATGATCGCTATATAAGAAAAAGGGTGGATGAGTGGGGTCCACTTTTAAGTCATTGATTACATCGAACTGCTTCCGAATCAAAAAAAAAAAAATACGAGATTTGTCTTCCATATCTGTATTTAAAAAATCTTATTTTTTTGAACGTAAAGAAATAAAAAGTGATTGCAATTATTGGAAATACTAGGCCCACTAAAGGCACCAAAATGGAAGGCAAGTTTATCATAAAGTGGGGGAACTCAATTTAATATTTGTACTTGTTTTTTTTTAATATTTTTTTTCTATTAGTTTTTTCATTATTCCTATTTTTTATAAAGATAGTCTATAGTCTATAATCAATCAAATTCATATATACTTAGAGGAGGGATATTTTTACTACCAAAATTTTGCACTACCAACTTACTACTTATCTAATTATCATTGGATCAGCATTTTCTCTCTCTTCGTAAACTTTTTAGCATTCTCTCTCTTTGATTCAATGATGATTAGATTGGTAGTGAGTTGGTAGTGGAAAATTTTAGTAATAAGAATATACTCCCTCATATACTTATCAACAATGATGCACGGACACGGACACAGGTGATGAACCCTTAGTTCATCATGATATTTAGCAGGAATTAGGATCAAATTGTGTGATTAAATGATGAAAAACAAGGTTAATGTCCTAAGATGTCCTCAATTACAAGTTCAAGAGCTTTATTGGAAATTTGTATGATTCTTGTAGGAAAAGCAAACTTGAAAGACAACTAGAGAAGAAAGAAGATTCTGGAGCTCAAGAGGAGAAAAATTGCCTAAGTGTTGAGCGCTAAAACGTCCACACTGAGCGTTTTAGCGCCCTGCTACAGGAAAAGGCCAAAACTTGCTGGTGATGAGCGCTAAAACGCCCACACAGAGCGTTTGTGGGCGTTTTAGCGCGCTTCTGCACTTAGAAGATGGAAAATTGCTGGTCTTGGGCGCTAAAACGGCCTGCAATAAGCGTTTTAGCGCCCTAAAGTGGAAAAAGGATTCTGGTCTTCACCGCTAAAACGTCCAAATCAAGAGTTTTAGCGTTGGAATCAGTTAAAAGCAGTTGAGCATACGTAAAGCATGGACGCTAAAACGGTCACACTTATGGACGTTTTAGCGCCCACATCAGTTTTCTGTTTTTAATTGTAACACTATATAAGGCAAAGCCTTGACACTTAGAAAAAGGCTCCGGATCTGAGGGATCTGAACTTTCTCTCTCTCTTAAACTTTAGTCTGACTTCTCTCTAAATTCTTTTAGTTTTAGTTTTTGTATTAGGATTTCTTTGTAATAGTTTGGAGATTGAAGACTTTCAACATGAAAATGAAGTTTGCTTCTTCTTCTCTTATCTATTCTTTAGTCATGTCTGAGTAGAGTCTTTGTAGTCTGAATGCAATGGAACTCCATGATAATATTATGTTGAATTGATTAATATGATGAAGTATTTTTCATTTGTTGATTTGAGATTTTCTGAGTTAATTATTTCTATCAAGGAAGTAGTATAGAACATGGATGTTTATATGACTTCTGTATTTGATAATCTCAACATCAGAATTCTAGTATTCAAGGGATTGATGCTAGAATTCTGATGTAATCTTAAAACTTTAGTATTTCATACATGTATTAAGAAAGAGATCACCAAGGGATTGAGGTTTCTGATTAATGTATCTATCAGGGTAGTAAGGGATTACATCTTGATGATAAGTAAAAGGTTGATTAACATCACATGGAAAGGAATTCATCATATGATCAATTTTTACATGGGTTATTATGGAGGAAAGTTGTTTTCTGACTACTTGTTGTTTTATTAATTCCTAATCCATATTTACTTTGTGTCAAATTACTTACAATCAATTTTCTAGTGACAAATTATTCATGATTTTTACAAACTCTTATTTGATTCAAATTAGTTTTCTATGGTATATTGGTGTTTGAACACAATTCCTCGTGGGAACGATCTTTACTCATCATTTTATTACTTGTACGACTAGTGCACTTGCTAAATGTCCAACAAGTTTTTGGCGCCGATGCCGGGGAATTTTTTTTTCAACACTAACTGATACTATAGAATTCTGAGATTGAATCCTTTTATTTTCGGTATTTTAGTTTATGTTAAGTTTCTGGTCAATTTTGATTCTGGTATATGCGAAGTACACTTGATCCGAATTTGTTGTTGTATGATCCAGAATTAGAAAGGACATTGAGGAAGCACAAAAGGGCAGCCAGGCAAAGGAGACAGTTGCAAAAAATTGGTGAATCAAGTACGGTTAATCAGGAAGAGATAATGGCAGAGAATCACAGACCACCACCACCACAGAGGACACTGGGAGAGTACATGACTCCTGCAGTGATTCCTCCAATTGGGAGTGTTGTGCGCCCAACAGTGGAGCCCAACAACTTTGAATTGAAGCTTGCTTTGATACATTTGGTGCAGAAGGATCAGTTTGCTGGAACCAGTGCAAAGGACCCTTACTTGCACATAGAGAACTTTCTATTGTTGAGTGATACTGTAAAGATAAATGGTGTCACCAGAGATGCAATTCTGTTGAGACTATTCACTCATTCACTGACGGATGATGCAAGGAGATGGCTGCAATCATTGCCACAAGGAAGTATAACAACTTGGGATGATCTGCAAACCAAGTTCTTGCAGAGGTTTTTCTCAGCATCCAAGAGGGCCAAGTTGAAGGATGAGATTACAAGCTTTAAGCAGAAAGAGTCAGAATCCATTTATGAGGCTTGGGAGAGATTCAAGACTTTGTTGAGGAAATGTCCACAACATGGAATTGAGGCATGGCAACAAGCAGCAATCTTCCTGCAAGGAATGACCACTAACACTAGAACCTTGGTGCATGCCACTGCTGGTGGATCATTGACTACCAAGACCCCTCAAGAAGCCTTGGATATCTTCGAGTCATTAGCATCTCAAGAATTTGATAATGCCCCAGTGGCTGACAGAAGGACAGGAGTCATCAGGTTGGATGGGTATGATGCTCTGTTGGCAAGGAATGATCAACTGATGCAGACACAGAGACAACAGCAGCAACAATTAGATACCCTTATTAAGCAACTCTCTTCACAAAAGGTAGCTTCTGTGGAAACAAAGAGTGTATGTGCTATCTGTGGCAAGGGCCATGTGACAGAGGAGTGTGATTATGGGGGATTACCAGAACAAGCAGAGGTGAATGGAGTGTGGTATGATCAGAATAATCAAAGGAGCTACAACAATCAGGGAAGGAATGTTTATATGCCACCATGGAAGAACAAGAATCAACACCCAGGATTCAGCTATAGTTCCAACCATCAATTGAATCCACCATTACATCCTCCACCACCACATATGAAGGAGCAGTCAAGTGATCCTGCTGCATGGGAGAAAGCGTTTGCTCAGTTATCTAAGACAACTCAGTATTATATCCAGGGGTCTAATTCATTCAGGGAAGAGACAATTGCATTCATGCAGGAGACCAGAACTTCTTTCAGAAATCAGGAAGCATCAATCAGAAATTTGGAGACCCAGATTGGTCAATTATCAAGACAGATATCAGAGAGACCACAAGGGAAATTTCCAAGTGATACACTAGTGAATCCTAAGAAGCACTGTAAAGCAATTATGACAAGAAGTGGGTTGGTACTTCAACTAGTGAAAAAGAATGTGGAAAATAAAAAGAATGAAGAAGAGGTTGTGGTTGAAGATGTAGTCTCTGATGATGAAGTAGAGAAGATGAGAAATGAGAAAAGTGAGAAGGAAGTAGTTGTTAGAGATGTTATAGTTGGAATTGATAAAGAAGAGGAAGGGAATGACAATAAGAATGAAGGAGAGGTAGAAGTTGGTAAAAATGCTTCCCACAAAAGATGATGAAGTGGGAAAAGAAGAAGATGGCTGACAAGAAAGAACAGCCAGTTATTTTATCTCCCTATGCTAAAGTTCCCTACCCTCAAAGGTTGAAGCAAGAGATTCAGAAACAGCACTATGCAAGATTTTTGGATATCTCCAAAAATTTACAAATTAACATACCATTTTCTGAAGCACTGGAAAATATGCCTCACTATGCAAAGTTCATGAAGGATCTTCTTACTAAGAAGAGGAAATTAACTGATGGTGAGACAGTGGCCCTAACAGCAGAGTGTAGTGCCCTAATCCAGAAGAAGCTTCCAACAAAAATGAAAGATCCTGGAAGCTTCAGTATCTCTATTGCTATAGGAGATGTGGAGGTGGGAAAGGCATTGTGCGATTTGGGAGCCAGTATAAACTTGATGCCGTTGACAGTATGTAGAGCTTTGGGAATCAACACTTTGAAGGAGACCAATCTTATTCTGCATCTTGCAGATAGATCTATCAAGAGGCCTGAAGGTGTGGTTGAAGATGTCTTGGTCAAGGTAGACAAGTTTATTTTTCCAGTGGATTTTGTGATTCTTGACATGGAGGAAGAGGATACAGAAAGTCCTCTATTGTTAGGAAGACCCTTTTTAGCAACTGCAAGATCTTTGATAGATGTTGAACAAGGAAAGTTGTTGCTAAGGGTGGATGAGGAAACAATCACAATTGATGTATTTGAAACCATCAAGCACCCCGTTGATGTAGAGGATTGTTTTAGATTAGATGTGATACAGGAGGTTGTGGAAGAAGTGAATAAAGAAGAAGAATTCCCAGTTGAGGAAAAAAGATCAGAAGAAGAGACAGGTACAGAAGATTACCAAGAAGAGTCAGAAGTGGAAGAGCTTGAGAAGAAGATTGATGATATTCCAAAAGGAGCACCTAAGGTAGAACTTAAAGAATTACCTTCACATTTGAATTATGTGTTCCTTGGGGATGATCAAACATATCTAGCAATCATTAATGCAATGTTGTCTGATGAGGAAGAAGGGAAGTTGATTAAGGTACT